TGATTGATTTAGGTGGCTCATTTGTTGATTACTACAGTTTATCGTAAGTACGAATTACTGTACGCATTTCGTTTTGTGATTAACGATGAGCGAGGAGTCACGTCCAATAGAGAATCGTTAGGAGACTATAGCACAGCAAAACGGTCGGTTTCTCTATTTAGTTTTTTATACTTGCGTCAGTTTTTCCCCAGTGAGATTGAAATGTATGTACTTTCACACAATTATTATGTTTTGTCGATCCTCAAAAGTGTAACAACGGAAAACAAGTGTGGTTGCAATAATCCTTCATGTTGGTAACTTGGATGGAAGCTCAAAAAGACTGACGATTGAAGTCGGTCTTCGCGTCGATCGAACTGCTGAAAATTTGGCACAGGTTCCTGAGGTGCCTGGACAATGTGTGCGGCCTATGCGTTTTGCGCTTGACACTTTCGCTTTTTTGCAGTCTTTTGAAGACCATTCCGAATACAACGGATTTATGACCACCCTGATGACACCTTAAGCCTTTATCGGGGTGCAATGTGTTCGAGGATTTCGTGAGTGTCAACACTCAGAAAATCTATTATAGAGCGATCGGTTTGCAATCCTCTTATTCGAAGATACGATGTCTCGAAATGACCTTCATGAATTTAAAAAGCATTTTCTGTAGGACGATAAATGCAATCACGGGGTTAGTTGGGCTGTTTGTTTTGACATTCAGTCTGAAGAGGGTTGATGAATAATGAGACCAAATGTTTTGACTGATCAAAATGATTAAGAGCAAGTCAAACATGCATGAAGATCAGAAAAAACGAATTCCGACACACTTTGGTTGATTATATAGTGAATTTTGTCGTGTACAGAGTAAATTAAATGTGAACTGAAATTCCAGGAAGAACTTTCGACTTGATGTCGTCTCATCAACAGTGTGAACCTATCGATGCATCTGAGGGCCGAACCGGGGACCTTAAAGGTAGAACGCAGGCATACTATCTACTCGGTCGCCGGGCGGTTTACCAGACCGTTTTCTTTTCAGTTTGCCTATATACGATTATATAATCAAATAAACATGTAGTAGCAGCAGACACAGTTACGAAAGGAATGTCCTGTCACTACCTGTTTAGTCCGTTATAAATTGAGCTCTATTTAGCCAGTTAAGGTAGCACCGTGGAAAAGATTTTGCATGTTTCACACTGAAACGGTTAATCCTTATCTCCGACACATGACGTTTACGCTCATAGGCACCAACCTGGGCCTGCCTTTTTCTGAGTGCCTTGAAATTGCATTCAATCCGTTTTACCTAGTTGGTAGTTGCTTCCATTTTACACAGTGCCATCGGATTCCTTGCACATTCTGACTTATTCGTATGTGCTGAACTTGCTAGCTCGAAAAGGATAGTTTCTGAATTTTCCAATAGATCAGCTTGCTCATTTTTNCCCCGCCACAATCAACGATAACTTGAACTGATCCACCTGGAGTTCTCTGCTCCTACCGCAAGGTCGTTGCGAGTGGCGTGATAAAATATCATAGTGTTACGTAATCAAAGCCGACACCCGTCTGTCAGAAAATAAGGACACATATTGACAGGATACTTACTGCGACCTAGGTCTGCCGAAACGTTGTTTGGTAGTTCCAGATTGTAAGCCAATAGCTCAAAAAATGCTGATTTGACTTTGACGCACTTTATCTCTCAGATTGATATTGAAGTCACGTATTCAAAGTATTTATTCATTCGACTACTTATGATGACAGTTATTTTCGATTGTGATTGTGGACTCATTCCCTTTTTCGTGCTCTTCACATTATACACAAAAGTCGAGGTCTGTGCTGAAGAAACTGTCAATTTGCTTACCCAACATTTACAAATATGATGGAGATATCACAAATAGCATACTCCACACGTATTCCCGTTTTGCGGTGCTGCATGCCTATGACCAATAGAGCTGTAAGGACCACATAAGGTGTCACCATGTTAAACGAGTGGATCATCTAAGGCCAATCCAGTTCCTCCGATAAGTGACTCACGCAGCTTCGGGCAATCTTATCACAATAAACCTAATAGACCAGATTTCAATTCACATTTTACTTATCGTTACTGATTTGCTAGGAGAGGGACGGGGGATGTTCTTTGAATGGACTTCACAGATAGTCCACTGTCTCGTTTTGTTGTGGTCACGACCACCAAACCGATTGACTATCTTCGAGGGCTTGTGAACATCACCGGGGACGGGTGAGCTGCTGATAAGCTCTAATGAGGCCGAACTTCGAGTTTAGTGCATCGTTGCCTGGATAAACTGAGGACCGCGCCTCAAGAATGACTAGTCCAAATAAACCGATTATGAAAGCTTTATTCTTCCGTGTTATACTTTGGTGTTGACGTATTCATCTCATGATCACCAAAGTTACAGGAGCAACTAATCTTTTCCATCTAATTTCGTCAATAAAATCGGTTAATAGTTGATTTTTGATGTAGTAAAATCATGAATATTCTCGAATAGGAACTGCATAAAAATACAACATACCAGTAAACATCGAAATCCTCATTAATAAATACCCGAAAATAAAGTATAAAAAT